ATGTGTAGCTGACCCATTATGTGTGTAAACGTAACCGTGTGTGTGTGCGCATCTTGAGCTGCGCGGGGGGGCATCTCAAAGTAACTTGTTATTATCACCTCAATATTTTTCTTATTATGACAATTACATGCTCCAGGAGCGAATTAGGCGATAAAGGACGCCAAGTGGGAGTGGTTGACAGCTATTTGGAGACTCAATGCACAGAGCAATTTGCAGCCCCGAGCCTAACAAATTGGATTTGGGCCACTTTGGATGGGGGCCCTCAGATTGTTGGGTGTTTGGATCCTGAGATCTGCAACGGACTATAGCCAGCTTTAATTCTTTATGCATGACTGGATAGCAGACTGTTAGCCAAGTAACAATGCTTTGTGGACACGTAACAGTAACTGAGTATATGTTTATACATTATAACATTACTATTTGCAGTTTAAAGCCTATGGGCTTTAAGCGTCTCTGCATGTTAAATAGTGCTGCTACTTTTTTTGGTCTTAGGCCACACAGCTGTGCTCAAGTGTGTGTATAATCCAAATGAGCCTAACAGCCTCTAAACGAATTACTGGTACACATTTTACCACCCTAGACTGCCACAGGAAAAGCTGGCAACAGCACCCAATTAGGTGAAATGCAATTATTCCAAACCATTCACACAATTAGCCTGTAGGTTAACAACCTAGGCGTGCATCCGGCTGGCATCCAGTGTTTTGGAAAAGCCACGGTTGCCCTGACTCTCATGGTAACCACTCCGTGTCAGATAGGATGCGCTCAGAGCAGCCAGTGGGTTTAAAAGAAATAAAACCTTCAGTCTTATTGGTGGAGGCAGAGCGTGACATCAGTCAACTCAGAGCAACGGGAGACTTGATTGGTTGAGGCGAAGAGTGGTGCCATGGGTGAGGAAGAGAGAGGATAGAAAGCAAGGGTGCTCAGTGGAGCGAAGGTGCATAATGCCAGGCGACAGACTGGCAGGCTGGCAGAGCGGGTGGGCACTCACAGCAGCATGATGGAAAACAAAAGCCTTATGTGTCACAATCGAGATCGCATTAACCAAAACAAGCAGGCGTGGACAGGCTGCCACACTGCCTTGGTTGTCTGTTCCACCAGCTAAGCCAGGCGCAATGAATGGGGAGAAACGGGGCGGGGGGGGGGGGGGGGGGGGTGCTGTCTCCTTATTTATGTTGAATTGTACTCTTGTAATGGGAAAAGTGCACAGACACCAAGCTGACATAATATCTGCGCTGTGGCTGATTAGCTCAGGTGAAGCACATACTGTAAAAAATAAATTCTTAAAGGAAAATTGCTCATATTTTTTTAAATCTACGATCAAAATGTAATGAAGCATGAAGAAAGTGTGTTTTGGAGCTTCCTTTTAAGCAGTGAGTTGAAGTCTGTGGAAAGGACTGAACAACTGATGATAAATTCTGACCAAACGTGTGAGCTAACCACTAATACCAGTAAGATTAAAGTGCATTGCTGCCATTGTAATAAATGACAGGGGTGTAAAGATTTATGAGACAGTGTTTGCAGGATAAACCAAATACATTTAAGCGATTTTAAGACAACAGCAGTTTGCATGTCAAGCTGAACAGAAACTTTATTTCTCCAAACTGAGATCATTCAGAGATTTAATTGCAAGTAAGAAAGTAAAATTTTTAACATTTCTACAGAAGCCTGCTGCAAAAGATGTGAACTCTTACTGGTTATTTATGCTGATGCCCTTTAATAAAGTATTCAACAAGAGTGAAAAAAACCTTTTTAGGACTAAAACAGAATCATATTTCCTATTTTATATGCTCAGAGTAAGGTTTATTATTTAGCATTTTTTTACCCTTTGGTATGCTCTCTTATTTCAGATGATTATTGTCCCTCAGGGGGAGATTTGGTTTACAGCAGTGGGTAAATGACACAGAAGACACAAAACAAGACACGAGATTTTGCACACAATTCCATTAATTTCAGCCACAAACAAGGGCTCACTTAAAAATGCCACAAGATTTCATTAGTAATAAAATAAACAACAAAAAAAAACCTTAAAATGCCCAAGAGGGTTGTGTTTATTGCACTTAGAACATTTCACTTTGCCCTTTAATTCTACCCTTAACGGGTGGTTAAAACTGACATCGCCTTCCCATTTGTTTGTTTTGTTTTCAATTTTCATGACAAGGACTATTACAATTATCTTCCAGGACAGATTATTTTTTTGTTGTGTATTGCGAGGTTAACTTACCAAGGGACAATGTAAAAGCTTCAAATAGACTCTGTGAATGATCTGTAACAAAGAACCATCAGCGTTTTGTCTAAATTAAATTTTCTTAGTCTATTCAACAAAAACATTCCTGCAGACATGTTTTGTGACAGTGAAGGCTGCTTAGGGCTCAAGTGGAACAGGACTGGAGAGTCAACAGCCTGATATCGAGCAGATCATCTGGCATGCACCCGCAACTCTTTTTATTTTCCTGCAAGTGGGCACCAGCCAGAAAACTGGGGTCATTTACAAGTTACAAGTCACCCCCAGTCAAATACAGAGCTGAGCTGTAGCCACTGTTCTGTGAATGTGTGTGTGGTCGGTCATCACGTTTTATCTCATCACTTTCCCTTCCACTCTTTTCTTCCTTCACTACGTCCTCCAACATCAACACTTTAATGTAGTCAGCGGTCAGTCAGGGATATTATTGGGAATTCCCTTGAATCGTTTTAGACGGGGGACTACCTACAAAATACACACACATAAAAACAGTACTCAGCTCACCACAGGGAATGGAAACTGTAATATGAACTCACCCTTGGTCTGAATGAAAGCCCATTACAATTTATTTTTACCGCAGCAGCCAGTGTTGTGGCTTTTTTTTTTTTTTTTCTGTGGGAGGTTTGGGCTTTTCTGCCACTAAAACCATCTCAAAAACCATAATGATGAAAAAGTCCAATTCTTATTTCTGCATATTTAAAGCAAACCTTTCATATTAATATAGTTTTGATGTTTATGAAAGCATCAGAAATATATATTTTTGCACATTCTCTAATAACATTTGCAGTTTTGCAGCTTCATTATGACATAATGTGCTCTGGGAAAATTATGTGCTTGCTTGAGCTTACATTTAAATTTGCCACCTGCTGCTTGTCAGCTCTCATCAAATGCTTGGCTGATCCTCATAAATACTCAGTGTAAGTCTCCACTTCTGTTCCAGGATCTGTCTGGCTCGATTGATGACCTCCCCACTGGGACTGAGGCTGGTCTGGGCCCAGCCGGCAACGCTGCAGGATCCTCCAACAGCAGCACCAACAGCAGTAGCCAAGGGGATCAGGGAGGCGCCGGCAACCAGGGACAGTCCCCCTTTTCCCCTCACCTCCCCAGTCAGAGGAGCGGGCCCTCTCCCTCCCCTGTGGGCTCCCCAGCAGGCTCCACTCAGTCCCAGCAGTCCCGATCTGGCTCAGGGCCCATCTCTCCTGCTAACAGCACTGCTCCAGGTAAGGTTCCCGTCCACACGACAACCTCAGAGCATGATGAACATTAAATGGCTCACATGAAGGAATGCATATCGCCCGCCACATTTCAAGGCAACATTTTTAAACTAAGGTCATCTTTTGTTGAGAAATGACAGTTATATCCATTTTGGTTAAAATTTTGCACAATCTCAACTGATATTTCAGTATCTTGCATTATTTGTTAGAACTTGGATTATGTGTTCGATTCAGTTCAGTTTATTTATAAAGCACCAAATCACAACAGATGTCATCTTAGGGCACTGAACAGAAACATTCACATACATACAAAGGCCAGTTAGTAAAAACTATATATCTAAGGAAGCCAGCAGACACGTTGAATCTTCATTTCGTCGCAATCTCCCATCCTGAGCAAGCGCAAAGGCAACAGTGGAAAGGAAAAACTCCCTTTAGACGGAAAGAAACCTCCAGCAGAACTGGGCTCAGGACGAGCGGCCAGCTGCTTTGACCAGCTGGGTTTGAGAGGACAGGAAGGAGAAACAAACGAACACAGAATGTCAGACTCAGGTGTAAGTGCAGGTGTACCCCCTATTGAAAGACAGACAAAAAACACAAGTCAAGGATAGAAAAAATTACAAATACAAAACGGGTAGAAATACAGAACATGTAGTAGAGTAAGCAAAGTAAGCAGCGGAGTAAAGAAATGTGGTCAATTATAGGGATCCAATTTTTTTTTTAACTTCTGATCCCTATACCTAAATCTGTATATTAGCCAATACTGATACTATTTCAATATCATCATCATCATTGATTTTATATGAGGCTATAATAATCTCCTCTCTATAGGCAAGTACAATTTGTACAAATATATGCATGCATGTCCAAAAAGGCAACTTGAGGTAAGTTTTATTAATGTTGGATAAGTTTCAAAGTTAGAATTAAATCCTGCTAACACAAAACATGTTTTGTTTTTTCTAGCTTTAAAATGGATATTAAATTGATTAAATTGCTTCAAACATCTGCTAAGTTCATGGCAATATCCAACACAGACATGTTCCTGCTTTTAGTATTTTACATCGCTTTATAATGTAGCTGTTTTTGTTTCTTTATACAAATAATATATATATATATATATGTATATATATATATATATATATATAATTTTCTTTTATTTTTTAATTTATATGCTTTTTTATGATTGTCTACTGTTGTACTGATAAACTATATCTTGGCATCAGCATGCATCAGGATATATCTTGGCTGCAAATATTCAATCAAGCTGTGAAGCAGACAGTCTGATTTCAGTCAGCCGCGCTCAGTCTGCTCCTCTGAGACGGGCAGACTGAGTGTGGCTGACCGAAATCAGACTGCCTGCTTTGGACTGAACGAGAGGAACACACCACTGAAGCCACGGAGCTCTAACGTCCAACGTAAAACTAACTTTACCGCAGTGCCTGGCTAAACAATCCTCATGTGCTTTAATGTGGTGCTTTTTCAAATATTTATTAAGTTCAATGTATTGTAGCTTTCTCGTCTCGGTACAGCGGCTCTGCAGACATTGCACATTGCTGTCTTGTGGTGTTTCTAGTGTAAAGTACTTCCACACAGCAGACATGTTTTGATAAAAAGTTGGTTAGCTGTTAGCCACAGTGCTGCTGCTCAGCTCTTGTTGTAGCTGGTTGCAAACTATGAAATGGATTTCCTGAATGTGAGGCAGGTCTTATTACTCTGGGTTTCATGAAACACGCCTCCGTTCAGGAAATCCATTCCATAGTTTGAAGCCAACTTGCAGAGCAGCCAGCAGGGAATCACATGTGGAGACATTTCAGCAGACACAGACATGCATCATGGATTGGAAATCTCTGCAGGTTGGATCAGAAAAATCCGATATGTAAATTATTCTGGTATCGGAGGCCGATACTGATACCGGATCGGATCAACCTTTATTTATACAGGTTAGTTCCCATTGCGCCTCAAGGACTCATTTACAAGAAAGACCTGTTACAGACAAACAAGTAGATAAGGAAAAGATAAACACGAGGGGAAGGGAAGTAAAAAAATATTGTATTGCACTATGTCCTGCTGGGGGCACAGTGTGAAAGTTACCAAAAAAAAAGACCTCACACATAGACAGCAACATACTAATGACATAATAATACATTTATGCATGAGGAGGACAACAAAGGCGGTGAGTTGTTCATGGACACTGCCAGAAAGTTCCATAGTCCTGATAAAGATGGCACAGTGTCTATCAGCCGGCTCAGCTCTGATACAGGTCCACAGATGTCCTCGCAAAGGGCGGGGAGGGGAGGAGGAGTAGAGCAGAGCTTCTTGTTCACTTAACCTCCAGGAGAAATTTGAGATAGTTGACCTATTCAAGGCCAAGCGGGGAAGACAGATTCAGATAACATTTGTTTTGGGACAAGCCGACTGCTTGATTTTTGTGTCTGTCTTCATAGTTCTGCTGGTTCATCTCAATGGTGACTCCAAACACCAAATTTTGTAATCATAATTTTGTGGAGAGAATTTGTTTATACTGATACTATCAAGACATGCTACTAGAACCAGACACCAGTTCGTGTCTTTAGTTTAATGTTGTGGATTCTCAGCTAAACAAAAATGGCTCATCTAGTTTAACACCGTTTTTTTTTTTTTTTTTTGCTTTTTTGTTTTTTGTGCTACCAAACTAGAAACTGCTGTTTGAAAGCAAATTAAAAACCAATCCAAACATCTCCCAGTCCGTGCAGTCCTGTAAGATCTATTGGGTTTGACAGGTGATGAAAAGTTCCTGCTGTGACCTTTTCAAACCAGCTGATCCTCTCTCCACTCAGGTGGCTTTAAAATTTGTCTTCTGCTGCTAAAAATATCACTATATTTCCCATTACTGAACTTTTTTAGTATTCCACCCAAGGTGTTTTTGGTCAAAATGCACAAAGATCATTTTGTGATGAAAATCATTTTCTTTGTTTTATTTGTTTACAAATGATACTTCAATCATCTTTATGTCAGTGTAATTACTACTTGTTGCTTCTGGAGGGCTATCATAATAATCACTTCACATTCTTCTTGACTTATTTATTCACTCTTGTATATTTTTTAATATGTGCTTTTAAAGGAGACTTTAAAAGCCTTATGATGCTAAACGACCCTGATGAGAATATGAACTGATAAAAACAATTCCACAAATAACAGGGCAAGGTCTAAATGTCGTGTTTTGTAGTAAAATGTATGAATAGAGCATCTGTATATCAGATTTTCAAACATTAATCTGGAAATTAGAAAGCTTTTATTGTCACTTTATACAATACAATGAAATTATAAATGTCTCTTGAATGATGTGTTTGACATCAAAACATAAAAAGGCAAGTCATTAAAATTGTAAATAAGTAGAGAAATACATTTCTGCTGACACTCTAATGGCTGAAAAGCAGCACTAAACAATATATATATAATAATAACTATAAAGCAATACCCGATTATTGAAAATTTTTGTCCTAGTCATTATTTTAATTAGCATGCTTATCAGTTATGCAACATTTTTGCTTAACAGCATCTTGTTTTATTTTCTCTGCATCGTCAAACCACTATATAATAGGCCTAGATTAATTTCCATTATGCTATTTTGCACAAAAGACGACGAAGAGAACACACTGCAACGGAAGGCCAGATGATATCCATCCTGCATATCTAGTCTTTGATCTCTCTGGTCCATTTAAAATTTTAATTCAGACAGCTGAAGAAATTTGCTTCCGTGTTGCGGAGCACTTGTTGGAACATTTTTTATCTCGTTTTTCTCGCACAGTTTTGTGTAGCTGCGTTGCGGAGATTTAAGGCTTTGATCGCTGGATTGTAAAAACCTCTCCTTGCTTTGCAGGGGAATTGTGATACTCTTCCGACTACCTGTGGATTGCACCAACGTTCATGTCTGTGCTATTTTCTCTCCATTCTGGGTGTATTTGTAGCCTTATCTATATTATGGCAGGGAAAAAAGAAAGTAACAGAACTATCAGACACAATGCAGAGCATCTGTCTGTCCCCTGAGGCTATAGCAGAGCATTTAGATAAACACTGAGCATTATAAATAAATGAAGGTTTGATTTGCCTGCAACATCCTAGTAAATGTGTATCTGTGTGTGTGTGTGGCCTCCATGACATCCTGCCAGCACTCTTCCTGAGTGAGTGGTTGACCGACCCATCAGCATGTCTCAGACCTGCCAGTCACTCCGACAAGGAGGGGCAGAGTGTCTACAGTGAGCTCCAGCAGCTCCCGCTCCTCCTCTTCCTCTCCCTCTTCGCTCCTCAGCCGCTTACCGGCGTGATTGACGCTAATGAAAAACTGGGACAGTGGTTTTTCAGGCGCTCGTGCCAAGAATCATGACGAGAATCCAGAGTGAGGCGGCAAAGACGAGGAGCGAAACCGATCGCTGGGACGTGATTAATAAGAAAATATTTTAAAATACCCCCCCCCCCCCCCCATGCCAAATAACTGTTGATAAACATGGAGCTGTGAGTAACATCTGGCATGTTTTAGGGGTTGTACTACAATCAGTTTGAATTAGATCAAGGAGCAGCCAGTGTTGGCGAGACACAGGAGAACTAATGGGGTTAGCTTACATCTGATTATAACTCCCCGCTTTGCAGCACTTCACAAGTTAACTTGGGCGCGATTCGGCGAGAAGACTAAGGTTTGATTTTTTTACGCTAATCCTATTAAAGCAACTTGTGTCCTGTGAGCACAAATCAAATATAAAGCTGATCATTTGTGTGAAAACCTTCATCAAAACACAGCGTTGTTGCTCTTCCTGCTGCTCCATTTAGCTGTTTGTAATCACAGGCTGATCCATATCTGTTGCTTCCATTGGCATTTTAACTATTTAAATTTATTTATTTATTATATTTTTCTTCATTTGGGAAGTGTTGATATGATTACGTACAAAGAATACATCAAATTTGGTATTACAGTAGTCCCTCGTTTGTTGCGGGAGTTTGGCTCCAAACCCCCCCACAATAAGTCAAATTCCACA